TTAGTAAGCATCCTAAGCAAAGCTTTGCCGAGTGTTTCCCTGGCGTCACTGTATAGAAGGTTTACTCCTAGACTTAACCCCAGATGGTCGAACTATAAGTTGCTGCACACATTGCAATGCTCCTACACCTTGTGTTAAGTGCCGGTTCGAGGGATGATGGGTTAAACGGCTGATATCATTGCGTGGTGAAGTATCTGGTCCCTCAGAGACCAAACCCTTTATCATGGAATAGCCTCTCATCAGTAGTGAAGATCCTGTTTCCTCGCCGTATTATACAATGTGTTTAGTGGAGTCATCTTAGCTCGTACTTTTATATGGCTCTACTGCACTTTGTATCACACTTTGTCTATGGTATGGTTTCCTTCACCGGTTGCATGTACTATGAAGAGCTCGGGAGGAGTAGTACATTAGGGATTAAGCTCACTACTGCAGCGGTAGTATCAAGTCGTGAGGAGGGTAGAGAGTTTAGTCGTTGAGGCTCCTATACTCAAGTCAAGCTTGTCAGCGTAGTCGTTTGCTATGTCTTGCTTTGCCACTAGTAAGACACAGATTTTAGGCTCAGGTTTTACGTTTGGGTTAGAGCGAGAGAAGAGGCATGTTCTCGGACGTCCTCAATTGGAAGCCTTCAGAGTCGCCAACACAGCAGGTTTTGCCGAGGTACCCTAGAAGTGTCTCGAGCCAATATGTGCTCCTTAGTGCTTTTCTGGTCGAGGGATCATGGATCAACTTCTACAGAGAAAGAGGATTCTGGACAGTTCAGGTGGAAGGGACACGGCTGGTTTCCTGTATTCGCAGTACGTCTGACACGGCAGCTCATCGCAGGGCAACAGCTCGACGTGGACCTCCCGAGTATTGGCTGCGGCCGATAAAAGTGGGCCGCTGGAGAGCTATAGTCCGTCGTGCTTGAACGATCCGAATCAAGGTCTGGCTCGGAGGTCTACCGTCCCCACTCACTGCTTTACTCCGACTTCCTCATGAGTTACTATCGATGACTTAGTGTATGAGGCATATTCGAGCACCAATGGGAAGTGAGGAGCTCGATGGTCAGTTGTTATTCACTATAGTGTGCGTTAAAGGGGAGAAGGCTATCGACTCCTCGGCACTATTAGAGGCCCTCGTCTTTGTAGTATTATAAGTTTGGTTATTACTGTTATTATAGACCAGGTTGGCATGACCCAGTAGGAGGGTCATAGACCGTTCCACATATTGGATAGCATGAGAAAGGGCGTCATCGCTCTGCAGGGCCTTGCCTTGGCAGTTGACCTCGAAGGACCAGTGTCGGAGTATCCGAACTTCCGTAGAAGCGTCAGTGTCGTGAGTGCATCTCCTCCTATTGGTAGTGACCAGGAAGCAACAGTAACAGCGCCCGTGAATAATCCATTCACGACCTGTCTTACTGTCAGGAACCAGGTTGCCCCACAAGGTAAGGATCGCGAACATTCTAGGGTCACTGCTTCGGGGCAATAGTCCAGGCCTAAGACTCGGAGAATCTCCAGTCCGAGCCCATACTCGCTACCTCTATATCGGTATCACCTGTTTACGCGATGCTGCACCAAGACTGTTTCTCATGTGTGTTTGTGATACATGCTAGTGTTATTTTGCTGGTCTGCTAGTGTTGAGTTTGAGGAGTTGGGGGGAACATCGTGGCCAACATAGTAAAGTCCTAATGTCCGCTGGAAAGTCAAGTTCGAGCAACACCACTCTGCGTCAACCCAAGGTGTCCTTAGTCCCGATTATCATCCTAATGTGAGTGGGCCAATTCAAGTGTGGTGTATGAAGTCACTAATGTCAGCTATATGATGGGAATGCTGATTTGCGATATGACTTTCGACATACAGGGTACAGGGGAGGAGTGTCGAAGCTATTACTGCAGACAGTTTGAAAATCTCCAAACTCCTCTGGGAGCCGCCAGGGTGGGCTGCTCAGCCATCACCACTCGGACTCATTTCGAATAGTAGGTTTTTGTCCCCACAGGAGTAGCTGGTATTATCATCTTGCGGGACTACTACCTCAACACCAACAACAAGTTGGCACCAATGCACAGCGTAACCCTTCAGGCCGCGGCTGTGGTGCTACTCCTTCTTATGGGTAGTAGTACCCTTTTTCCTCGCAGTGTTGGTCCTACTGCTTATCTTAGGGTTGGGTACCATGGGCCTGTCCTTGATGGCAGTACACTCGGCATGCCCCGATGGCACTAGTGAGCTGTGGGATCATATCGTACGTCGCACTCTGTTGCCGGTAAGCGTGTGCGAGTGGCTGTCGAGATTGCTGAGTTGTCGTGCAAGGTCCATACCGTTATGGGTTTCACTCTAGGAGGAGCCGCCACCCTGCTCTGGCTGGCCCGTCGAGTTATAGAGTCCAGTCCCAAAACTGAGAAGCTGGAGTAGACCACCTATAGACCATCGTTAATCTGTCATTGAGTTTCCAGTCATTGTCTTGTCCGAGTTATTCCTATCCAGTCACCAGGTCAGAGGCCTGCAAGTGGATTATGGTCCACGGGGTCCTTATCCAGAGAAGGCATTCAAGTGCCCGAATTCCACGTTCTGAGTATGGGTCATCTTTACACGTCTCGCATGGCTGTGACAAACGAACCACAACGTTGTGCATATATGGGCGATTCATCCGTATCACCTTGATCAGCCCCAGGACACTTTTCAACACTGATGAGCGCCAAACCACCTTCGGGATGGTCCTTAGGCGGCCCTACTGGGCTCTATAGGCCCCACCCAATCGTATCATTTTGACCGACTCAAAACCCAATGAGTACTCCTTATCAGAAACGACACTTAGCATGGTAGGAGTCAGTCATCAGTACAGCTCTGTCGGGGCCAATGGTGGCAGACCACGGGCCTCTCGAGCCTCCTGCTCATCCCGGTGGAAGCTACTGGCGTACTTATCGATCCACTCCCTATCAGTACAATGGTTATGATATGACTACTATTGGTACCGTCTGGTCTGGTAGTAGTCGAACCTCCGCATGTGGTCCTCGAACTGCATGCCGCGTCGATGCCAGATCCTGGACTCAGCCGTAATGTACCTAGGAAGTGTCGAACGTGTGGTACGAACGATGCTGAAGCATATCCCGAAAGTGTGGTACATCACATACGAATAAGGGTAGGAGTAAAAGCAAAAACAACAATTTTCCCATATCCCCCCGGCCCGTCGTACGGTGCCCATTCCCTCTCGTAGGACTTAGGGGCTCTGCCGTCCCTCAGAGCCATCCGCATATCCAGAGTAACAGATCTCGGCACTTCCTTCATTATGTATACTTTATGGAAGTACTCGTTCATCGGCATCTACCATCCAAGGTGGCCCATCACAAACTCAGCGACTACCTACTACCTCACGGACCACCAACTGCATCATATTCTGCAGTTTCTTCTTCCGAAAGTAGTACCCAGCCCTCTGTTGGTGTATACTCATGACCCTAGGACCACGTTCGGTCCAGATCCGACCTGAGCCCACCAGTGAGAGCCTAAGGACCTGTCCTATCCTCACTTATATACAGCCGAGCTGGGTCGTACCCGTGGTGGTCTACCATTCTCGTACGGGCACGGTACAGCTGATGACAGACTGTCGTAGCACGCATGCCCATAGACCTACCAGATCCCTCACTGGCTTGGCACTAGGCCGGCATAGAGCCTCCATCCAGTCAATCGCATCCTGCAACTGCTTTTTCTGACACAACATAATCCTAGCGGACCAAGCGAAGCCCATCCTACCCTGAGAAGACGTCCATAGACCCATAGCCTCTTGAGTGACAAGTTCATGTCATGTACCTTGAACCGCACTGATGGTCCCGGGTCCGACCGTATCTACCCAAGATGAACCAACCCGTTAATGGAAACCTATATTTCCATCATCTTAATTCCTCCGAAAAAATAGTTTTTTTCGGACGCCAAATCATAGTAGTGAAAATTCTGGCTCTATAGAGCCATAACAGACACAACAGTAGAGTTCTCCATGGCTTCTTCGACCAAGGCCAATCATGGCGGCTGGTATCCGGAAGGTTGCCGGTTCGATTCTCGGATGACGTACTGGATCCACGACGTAGTTTCCCCCTTAGTACATCGCCAGCCCTCTGCTCATCTGGATCGCTATAACGTGGCCATATGTGTTTCCTCCTCCGAGATATGGCCTGCCGTTGATGCGCTATTTTCTGCTTCCATGGCCACCAGTTCCTCCTAGGAATGTAGAACTTGTAGCGTCGACCCTACCGACAGAGGAAGCAACGCCTCCAGAACCAGTAACATATCCATCAGTATTACAACTAAGCTGTCCCTGCCCAACCCGACCGGCCCTGCACCCATGGTCAACCCCCCGGGCACTATGCTGGTCAGCCGACCACTGACCGTGGACAGCGGTAGTCTAAGGGTCGACGCTGGGACCAGGAGCATCTACTGTGAAAAGTCGAGTGAGTGCATATTTTTTAATACTACTAAACTCAAGTAAGTCAAATTGGTGTTGAGTAGTTAGGAATACTGCGATCGTACAGAGTAAGGAAGCATGTAAAGCGAATCGATGGTAGTCAGGACCTCCGCTTCACAGCCTCCCAAGTGCTCTGGAGTCCACTTTTATTGCCTACTATAAACAGATGATGAAACGTACAATCCCGACCCTAGGCACCTGGCCTTGACCGTCGTTTCCACGATAGCCATAGGGCTAGTAGTACCAGGAAGCCTGCTAACACTCGTACGCGCCGTCGGATCGCCTGAACGTGGCCAATGTAATGGTAGGCTCTGGTTCATCGTTAATACAGTGAGCTCATCCTGAGGGGTCCGATGGGACTGCCCGAGTCGACCTAATATCAATTCGATATTCTTCTCCTCCAGCTTGCCCGACTTCACATAGTTGAGTACCTGGCCATATCAGCGTGCAGCCGCCATGTGATTACTTTCTATCACCCCTCTGAGCCAGGACACTAGATCACCGGCACGTGCATATATCATACCACAATGATGGTAAATTTGGTCCAAAAACATGGTATGCATCTCTAGCATCTGATTGAATCGACCGAGGGACTCTGCCGTTTGAGTAAACCACAGGTCCTGTTGGTGTCCAGGGGCTCCCATAAGCCCACCAGGGTAGCCGTAAGCCCCTCCACTATACAGACCACCTACTACGGACCATCCACACACAGAAGGGCCTGGACGAAGCCTTACCTCCATAGCCACCAAAGAGACCACCACCACCACCGTACCTACAATGGTCAATGCCCACCTAGGGCCGGGTTCTGCCCTACAGTCCCGTGGCCCCTCCTCCTCCCCCGTACATGCCGTACCCACTCGGGTACATACTTGTCGTAGGTGATGTCGGCAGGGGCGCGATAGTGGTCTCAGGAGGGTCAGCCTGCTGGTCAGCATCGGCTGGTTGGGTTACTGTTGTTGACGACGACGGCACTTGCCATGGCTTGGGAGGTGCCATTAAAAAGGAAGACTAAGAGTGATGGACGAGAGCAAGAGCTCAACACTGGCATCGGAGAGAAGGAACGATAAATGTTATCATCGTAGAAGGTCTCGCATCCGGGCCTGCTGGTCGTGGATCCGCTGGGTCGACCGGTCGGTCCTGGTATGGACCTCATCCAGGGTCTGGTTCTGTCGATTTATCTCGCGATTCATCTCCACCGTTCTGAAGTTAGAGAACGTTAACCGAGTACTACCGGAACAGGGCTGCTACCTCGCATGGATGCCACCAAGCACACTACTGATACCATCTAGGTGTTTATCCAACTCGGAATCGAACTCAGACCTCTGCTGTTGTTCTTTCTGAGCGCTGCTCGGGGGAACTGCTTCTCCCGAGTGAGGCTCTATGACCTTAGTCCCAGCGGATGGGACCACCTTCTGGTCCTTGCTCGACAGACCATCTGGAGCACTATGATCGGTCTTGGCGGGCTTAGGGATATCCCTTTTGGGCTGACCACCCCAAGCGTTCCGCATTCTACCACTCCAGGAGGACAGACCCTTGAGGAGCCACGACGATGTGTCGAGATTGGATTCAATCTGACCAGAAAAGTTGCTCACTAGCAGTGCTGCAAAAAATGTTCGCTTTGCTCAGCTGAGCTCAAAATTTTCCTCACTAATCATAGGATTTCATATACGAATAGGGAGAATATATACGATTAGTGTACAGAAAGTAACAAGGATTTTCCTCAGAGTTTTCACATTGTCACCAACCATGCGCAAATTTTACCACACTGCTCGCTAGTCAGCATAATGTCCGACCTGTTGACTGTTCTCGTTTATCCGATCGATTTGTTCACCCTGACTCTGGACAATCTCCGCCGTCCGAGCTGAGCAAATATAGGATGCCAAAACTAGCTACTACACTGAGTCGACTAAGTAAGGAAATTTCAGAAAATTTTCACTATGATCAGCCGCGGTGTGACGTCCCCACTGTACTAGGCCCCTCGGGGAGATTCTTAGAGTGTTCTAACCTGAGACTTCATCTGTGTCATGAGCCTTGGCCATGGTCGACCTGACGGTCGCCATCATTTCCCTCTGTGTTGAGGTCAATTGCTCCTGTTGCTGCCCACCTCCAAGAAGATCCATATGGTGGACGGTATAGAAATCGATTACTTGGGCGCACGCGACGTAATACGCGATGTGACATGTGATGAACGTTTGAGACAGATTCGAATCTCCCAAAGGGCGTTTCTAACGCAATTATTACTCGGCAGTTTCCACACACATTACTTGGTCAACCATATATGGATTCGTATCTCATTTAATATTACTAGATCGGGAGCTTTCGACCATTATCGAACTGCACACTTGCATACGTACGGACGCACGCACACACAAAATTTTTGTGAAGTGAATACGCTCGGCACGGTACAGCTGAACTTAGTCGCACTGATCGGCGTCGATCTAAACCGTCACCTATTTCCGATGACTTCGATCATATTTCGTGGTCTATCAAACTGAACACGCGTTGAAAGAAAATGAACAAAAAAATTTTAATCGAACTTGTGTTCCTCGATTGCACTACTCTTTTCTCAACGGTAGGGTGCCTCATGACGTAGATAATAAATCTTGGTGGAAATGTGGGACGGTGTGTTTCATCGCATGGGATGAGACTATAGAATTCCGTTTTCCCTTCATGACCGGCAGCAAGATTCACGTCGAGAATCCTGTGGTTGAGCTCGATGGTGACGAGATGACGAGGATTATCTGGGCCTGGATCAAGGAGAAGCTCATCCTACCTTATCTTGATATTGATATCAAATACTACGACCTATCTATCGAGCATCGTGATGCTACTGATGATCAAGTCACTGTCGATGCGGCTAATGCTATTAAAGAGTATAATGTTGGTATCAAGTGTGCTACTATCACGCCAGATGAGGCACGTGTGAAGGAGTTCAACTTGAAGAAGATGTGGAGGTCTCCCAATGGTACCATCAGGAACATCCTCGATGGCACTATCTTTCGAGCGCCGATTCTCTGCAAGAATATCCCCAAATTGGTACCTGGCTGGACCGAGCAGATCATCATTGGTCGTCATGGTCATGGTGATCAGTACAAGGCCACTGATGCTGTAGCCGGTCCTGGCAAGTTCACCGTTACCTATACTCCTGCTGGTGCTACTGAGCCTGTCACTCAGCAAGTGTTCGAGTTCAAGGACGGTGGGGGAGTTCTCATGGGCATGTACAATACTGACAAGTCGATCTATGGTTTTGCCCGTTCCTGTTTTATCTACGCCCTCGACATGAAGATGCCACTTTACCTTTCTACTAAGAATACCATCCTCAAGAAGTACGATGGTCGTTTCAAAGACATTTTCCAGGAGATGTACGATAAGGAGTACAAGGCCAAGTTCGAGGAGCTCGGCATTTGGTATGAGCATAGGCTCATCGACGATATGGTGGCCCAGGCGATCAAGTCCTCTGGTGGTTTCGTTTGGGCCTGTAAGAACTACGATGGTGACGTTCAGTCGGATATCGTCGCTCAAGGGTATGGCTCATTGGGATTGATGACATCAGTTTTGGTCTGTCCCGACGGTAAGACTATCGAGGCCGAGGCTGCTCATGGTACCGTCACTCGCCACTATCGTCAACATCAGAAGGGCCTCAAGACATCTACTAACCCGATAGCCTCCATCTTTGCCTGGACTCGAGGTTTGTCCCATCGAGCCAAGTTGGATGGTAACGAGCAGTTAGCTCGTTTCAGCCAGGCTCTCGAGCAAGTTTGCATTGAAACCGTCGAGAGTGGCGCCATGACCAAGGACTTGGCCTTGTGTGTCTATGGTTGCAGTCCTAGCGAGATCAAGGAAGAGCAATACCTCACCTCGGAGAATTTCATGGACATCTTGGCCAGGAATCTCGAAAGGAAGATGGCTACATTTCAGTGATGTTGACGATGAACAGTATGTTGGTTAATTTTTTTGTTACATTTGACGTTTTTTCGAATAGGCGTCGGTTGGCCTGTTTCAGAGAAGAGAGGATGTTAGGTGTACTTGAGTTGTTAAGCTTTGATGTCGAATATTCTTCTATTCACGCGATAGTCAATCTCGGTGCTGAATATGAGCATCGAGGGCAGGGTAACTCGCGGTACATAATATACAAATCCAATGGAAACAGGCGTGAGTAGGTTCATAGTAGGATAACTCGTTGGTAGGTACCGGTACAGTGTTGCATGCGATTCTCATGATAGTAAGGGCGCATGCGTAGCACTCATGACATGCTCTGTCTGTAATGACTCATTACTAGGGTGCAGTTAGTGTTGTAGTCTGTTTCCAATCAGCTATTGCTTTTACAGTACTTGTGATTAGAGTATCGAGGTTCCTTTCTGCCGTTTGGCCGCTTCGAAGAGTTAGGCAGTAGAAGAATATATCGGGATTAAGTTTTTCCCCTATCACTCGACATTCTCTCGTTATTCATCATCTTCACTACGTTCGTTGTTACTCTGTATCTGAGGCATCGGTCCCCATACAGGTTGTCACTGATCTCAACGGTACGAATAACGAGTTCACGGCTCCCTGTTGTGAGTGCTTTTCCTCCAAAATTGTTATTGCACAGCCATTTTGAACAACCCGTCTTGAGTACCATCATCCCAGAGTCCCCTTCATGCGTCCTGGCCTCAGTGGTGTGAAATTCCGGAGTGTACACCTCGTTATACGCGGAAGCATCAGGATTAGCTACTGCCTTAGAAAGTAAGAAACTCGGAGATTGTCAAGTTATGTGGACAATCTCCGAGTTTCTTATTTTGTACAATGTCAACTTATGTGGCTTAAGACTGAAAATCGAAGTGTCCTCAACGAATGAGCCCATCCGGATATCCCGGACCAGACCGGCCGCTAAGCCTTCCCACGTGGAGTGGTCTACACACAGCAATTACCAGTGGTAATTTACCATCTGCGTACACGGGGAAGCTAGCAACAGTTGCAGATTTGAGTTCTAAACTGCGTGACCAATCGTGAGTATCTGGTCGTAGTAAATTGATCAGCCACACCTTTCCCTCGATGACTCGAATATGTAACAGTCCATCCCAGTGTATGGTCAAGTATTAGAAGAAAAATGGTTTCATCACAGAAAATGCCTTCACTCCTTAGCATTCCTTGAAGAGAGTGAGCAGCATTGTCCAGTCAACAACGCCTGTTATAACTATCAATGTGAATACAGTCGAATGATAGGATCGCACTAGTCAACTCTTCGCCGACCAGAGCCAGTCATTTCAAGACATACTTTTAATAGGCGTTAGTGTTTGTTGCAAAGCGACTAGGGATTTCAATTCCCTGAGCCTAATTTCTTTGGAAGAGTGGAAATTGCACTTGACCATTGTACTGGAGTATTGAACGCAACCATGGTGTTGTAAAGGAAATGGTAGATTATAGTAAAGATTCGCAACGATAATCGAGAATGTGAGGTAGCATCTCATTGAGCGCATCACAAAGATTCTCAATACTAGTCTTGCCCTTCATACTCACTCGCCCTGTTGAGAACACATCAACTGTCACACCACGACCGGGGTCACGGAGGACAACCTAACATGGACATTTCACAAAGACAACCTACAGGAGTAAACTCACTGCTGGGTAACGGCTAGGCTCATAGGCAACCACATTGGCAAATGCAGGAGCCCTAGAGAGGCCCAATAGGTTCATAGTAGAACCCAAGTCGTATGTCGCTAGGATGTTGTCGCAGGTGAAATCGGAGAACTTAACACGTTCGCAACTGCAGGCACATGATGATAGTGCCAGAAATACTCCGCAGCTACACTCACTTCATACGAGCCTTCAGTCGAGCCGCAGTACGATGCATAGCCAATCGGGCGTCTTCAGGGCTGGCAGCTCCCGTAGCCTGTATTTTACCACTACGGAACACCGCAATGGTACCTGACCATGGTACCAACCATATCACACTATAGAGATACCTCAACCTACACTGTGGACGCCAGTAGCGTATGCGTACGCAGGGGAATTTAGAAGGATCGTATTCGGCGTTACGAAAGCCTTTTACTATCTGGAAAACTCTTCAACGACGTTACAAAAGTCCACCTACCTGTGTCAATTCGAACGTAGTATTTAGATTGGCATGAGCCAGTACGTTCTGACAAAATATGTCCTCCGTGGAAACGCCTAGGCCGGAGTCAGTCGGTGACCCCTCCAGTAGGGGGTTCACAACAGCCATCGCATTCATTGTTTCTGCCATTGAGAAGTGACCCTTCGCTGCTTTAAACCATCCAATGTACTACATACATGCGCAACCGATGAGGACATAAGAAACGACGTCGTCACGTTGAATGAATCATTGAAATCAAAATAGAAATCAGAATGGAATATCCCCGGTAATATCTGGCTTCATCTCGACGAACACAGTCTTCATCTGTGTATAGTGGTCAATCGCATACACGGAGTTTTCCACGCCGATGCCCGACTGCTTGTGGCCCCCAAAGGGCAACTCCGAAGGGGTTACGTTATAGTTGTTTATCCAGCAAGTACCTAAAGGGAATCCCACACTACCCTACTACAGTACTTCGCCTCACGTACCAGCTTGTAACCGCTGCACCACCCTGTGAGCCCTCTGAAGGTCCTTAGTGAAAACCCCAGCAGCCAAGCCCATTTCCGTATCATTAGCCCGCTGTATGACCTCCTCCTCGTTATTGAACGAGAACACCTACATCAATTGATTACATACAAACACGGAATTCATCTAGAGTAGTCTGATAGTAGTAATTGCATAGAGCCATAGTATGGATCTGTCCAAGAGCTGATCCTACCTTTCTTTGAGGAAGGTATGGAAAACTGCCTTCATGAAGGCAAATGAAATGATAAAACGTCATATTCGTAAATGAAACTTACGTGTGCTTTCGCTGATGAAAAATGGGAGTACCGACTTCGGCCAATATCAAAATTTCACTACGAATTTGATTTTTTTCACTCTACGACAATCTAATTTGTTGTACATTAAAATGTTGTACATTGACGCTCTACACTCACCGTCATAACAGGGCCAAATATCTCTTCCTTCGCGATTTGCATATCATCTTTGACATGTGAGAATACAGCCGGGGACATGAAATTCCCTCGGGCCAAGGACCCCTTCGTGAGACGCTCTCCACCACACTCTAGTTTAGCTCCTACAAGGGGAGTTTCCTACCGCGATCAACTACAGCCTGATTATCACCTTCTTCTTGTCCGATGCGGACATATTCCATAATTCTATTCATATGACTCTCACTAATGATAGCACCCATATGGGTGTCGGGGTCCATGGGGTCGCCAACACGAATCCTCTTGGTACGATCAACGACTCGCCTCAAGAATGTATCGTGTATAGATTTGTGTACGAATACTCTAGTACCTAAATCGAAACATAAGAGTGAATCAGTCAGTAGTATGTTAGTTTTCACCATTGAAGAATATAAGTGTGCAAAAACCAATGAAAATTTCCAACACATGTAGTTGGTTATCTGCGTATTTTCCCACATTGTGAACTACAATGGCATTATACCTCTAGACCTACCATTAGAGCACACTTCCCCCTGACTGAAGAAGTTGGCTGCCAGTACACTCGCTACAGCATTGTCGATATCAGCATCATCAAATACGATCACAGGGGACTTCCCGCCGAGCTCCATAGTAACTTTCTTCAGCGTACGAGCGCTGACTTCTAGTATACTTTTCCCAGTACCTAAACGACTATCCCAACACGTCGACCCACCCTGGCCATACCAACTTCACCGGTCACACTGATCTTGTTTACTCTGGGGTGCTCAACAAGGCGTTCACCTGCATCCCTTCCCGTGAGGACGTTGAAGACCCCCGAGGGCAAACCCGCCTCGCTGTAAATCTCGGCGAGCTTAAATGCACTTAGTGGGGTTAGTGATGCAGGTTTGAATATCTATCAAGAACATAAGGCCAGTATTCTGATCAGCATTACCATGCTATTCCCGCAAGCCAATGCAGGGGCACTTTTCCATGCGGCGATCTGCAGTGGGTAGTTCCATGCACCAATCCCTGCACATACCCCCAGAGGCTCCCTTATGGTGTACCCGAATGATCCTGAGCCCATCACCTGCGACGATAGTCACCAACAAGGCTTCTACTAATCTAATACCGGTAAGTACTGGCCCTGAACACATGCTGTACTGGACAGGTTGGCGTAGAGCTCTATGGTATCAGCAGCAGTGACGACATCCACATTGACGGCCTCAGAAAGCGGCTTTCCAGTGTCCGCAGATTCTAACACGGCTAACTCATAAGCATTCTCTCGGAGTAACTACAGGAGTAGTCATTACAAGTAGTGGTCATCATCGCCGCCCTACCCTTTGAGCTCTATGAAGTACTCGGCCCCTTTGGGCCCCGGTCATTGCATACCACTCCTTCTGCCCTTCAACAGCACTAGTTACGGCCTCCTCAACGTCCTTAGAGTTCGCCGCTTTCAACTGATACAGTAAGTTCATCACAGAAAGTACAGCCCTGTTACACTGGCTAGAGTCTCTCCGGTTGCTGGATTAATGCTTGTGAATATATCACCCCTTGCTGCCCGCATGGACCCACGCACATAGATGCCCAAAGTCGACACTGCTCGAGTTTGACGTACGGAAAGAGATAACATACCACTACTGATACAACACCTGTCATTGGACTCCTCACAGGCCAGATCCGGGTCATGTATGAAACTACTAGAATTCTTTCACTACCTACGTACTTACCTTAAAACGGTGAAGAACTTGAAAAGCTGAGATAAGATCGTTGCTCTATGGGTTGAGAAGCGGCAAGTTGACTCACAAAGTGCCTCAAATTCACCCTAAAATCAGGAACCTGAGTAACTACGCACGTAAGTCTGGAACCATGCGCAAAAAATCGATCATTCGGGCGCGCGCTAAGGTGAAAAAAATCTTTCTTGTACCTTTATGTGATTATGCGGAGGGCACATTGTGGAATGACTCGCCGTAAGGTGGACGGTACTTAATAAGGTGTACCTAAACGTGAGGTGCATCTCAAAGCGCCTTAAATCAGAAATCCTTGTGAAGTAGGCCTCAGGGCGCACCCACAGGGGCCCATTTCACAAGCCTCGGTCAGGCACGGAAATCGTAAGGCGCTAGGCGATTATTGCACCTAACAGCGGTTAGGCTATTTCACAAAGGCTGAAAATCGGGGGGGCCTTATGGTAAGGCAAAGGACCTTAAGGTGCCCTACCTTATAGGTCCTGTGCCTGTCAGGTGCAAGGTCCACCTCCTAACGTGAGGTGATTTCACAAGGGCGATTTAGGAACCCCACCTTACGGAATTTTTGGGCCCCTTTCATTCCAATGGGGCTGAGAATAACTTCGAGAAGGTCGAGACCGTCCCCCGGTCCTTCGAGAACCTTTCAGAGGCTTATGGAAATCTCCAACCTAGTAATCAAATTCCCAGCAGCAAAAGCGAAAACTGATTCCGATTTCCCCAATCCAATGATGTCGTTACTGTCGACATAGAAGTGGGATCGCGAATCCTGGTTATAGAGCTAGGATGCTGATTATATAAACAGTTTGGAATCTTTACAAAGTTTTGGACAGTAGTGAAGTGAATTGCATCTATCGTGCATGGTTCTGTGTTTCTTTTATACGCTGTAGTTGTGCTGTCATTATGTGTATATTTTCCCCAGCTTAGTGTTTTCATATGGCCACCATCACTAAGCCAGAAGGGAAGGTGGAGCGTATCAAACGCAAGTGCGAGGGTTTGCCTTATTTTCATGTCGCTGGGACGAAGCTGTTTAGGTTGGGAAATGAAAACAGCACGAAGCAGCCTATGATGAGCCTTATGAACGACAGACGAATATGCAGAGGGAGCACGTATGCTAGGGTGCCGGCACAGAACAGACACGATTCGGGTGAGGAGTGGTATGAAGTTGAGGAGTAATGGTTGCATTATCATCAGCTCGAATGGATTTAGAGCGGGAAATACAGAAGAAGAAGGTACAACGCGCCAATGTAGTGCAAGAGATGTCTAGGAGGGTGAGAATTTCTGTGCGATTCACAACTACGATGCAATGTTAGGGGCCTTCTACTGAGGCTACACGTAAGCGTCAAGAAAGGAATGTTCAAACGGAGGAATACTATGAGAAGTTGACGACTATCGTCAGAGAGTGCTACTGGGTTGGTGTGTTATTGCGGCACTTTCTTCCGTATTAGATATGATGCTGAGACTCAAACTCCATTCGCATACGAGCGTCCTCCGAGCCCTTTGTTCATGCCAGTCTCGAGCGGTAATGATGCCGGTACGCAAATCCTTGAGGGAGAGCTCTTCGATTTTGACAAGGAAGTAATGATAATTAGGGATAGTAGTAGAGTTTCACCACCCTGCATATCACCGCGAATATCGGATTTTTCATGGAGTATTACGCCACTTCACGTAAAACGGCAGCGTTGTTGGCAGGTTATACCTGTGTTGGAGGTCATCGTGGGAAGGACTATCGAGAAAGCTCTGATGGAAGTGTTGGAGGAGGAAGAGCTGAAGGCTATAGAAAAGCGGCAGGCTGAGTAGAGCTGCAGTACAGCCACTGTGAGGAAGGTGATGCTTTAGGTTCGCAGCCTTACGTCACGCAGAGCTCTTGGAGGCTCAGCGTATGGAGGGCGTGGAAAAGCGGCGATCTGATGAGAAGGAGCGGAGAAAAACACAAGAGAAAATGAGGGTCACTAAGGAAGGGGTAGGCAGTATGGAATTATATGCACATGGGCGACTACGTGTGTTGGTGACAATATGAAAATTTTGGGAAGTTCTTGTTGTTTTCTTTGTATATTTTCACACTAGATGTGTATAAATTGCTGAGCTCAGCTGAGGAGGAAACCGAATACATATTTCAACACTTGAAGTCGGAACGCTGTAGTGTGGTTGGTCATCAGGTCCTTCGCCTGAAAGTCCTTTCGAGGCAACTGTCGAAGCATGTTGTCGCAGAAGTCGAAGCTGATGTGTTTAGAAAACTCCAGGAGCTGGGCAAATTCGACGAGCCTCAACTAGTAGGGTAATTTTCGCAATTTTCCCGTTATTGGGAGTGTTTCAGATCGACGTTGAAACGAGGGTACTCCCAAACATGATGAGTAGGGTTGCGGAGGAGGTGGCCCTCCGAGATGTCAGTACTCGGCTGGTTGCGGAGTTGATACATGCGGCGTGTGCTCAACGGACGAGGAGGTTCACTGAGTCACGTGATGAGTAGGCAACTTTCGACGGATGGAGTTTCTTGTTGTACGACTCGAGATGTAGGTATTTTGCTAGGAAGGCCGTGGTGGAGGCTGTCGTTATTGCTGCAGAAAAGGAGAGTGAAATTATATGTGATATTGAACAGTTGGAAGCTGAGCGAATCAATGAGGAGAAAGAGAGGATGAAGTTGTGGGAAGCATATGAGGTGGTTTGAAATAACACATTTGTGAAATAGTGCCTTATTGCTCAACATTGCTGGACTCTTCACTGTATGTAGATTATTATAGTATAGAGGTAGCTAACAATGATCAGTGTGGAGATTGCTCGCAAGCGTCGTCACATCACGAGAGGGGGTGACACTGTATGCTGTCACCGGCGTGCAGCATTGATTATAGTTCTGTCATTATGTTGGTATGTCTCAGGACCCGATCACACCCGAGCCTACCAACGAGGAAGAGGGGGTCGAGGACGATGATGCTGCAGGAGGTAGGTGAAGGTATGATGATACTGAGCCGAGAAGTATCCATCAGGGGAAGGAGAAGATGCAGGATAATCCATTTAGTTGTTCATGATCATGCTGCTCCTGAGACGATGTTAGATCTTACCTCTGTATTGGAGTCGTGTTGTGTTGTTGTAGTACCATCGTATCACGGTATCACTAGTATTAGTAGGTAGTATTACTATCACCAGCAGGTCCACTATGAGGTCGGTTAATATGAAGCTAGTAGGGCGTTGTCACGATGGAATAGTAACTCTCATATCTACTGTAGCCATTAGTGACTCCCACCGCATCTCAAGCTATTCACAACAACTCCATTACACTAGAGGTTGTAAAAGTCAATTCCTACCGTATAATATCCCTCTTTTCACTAAGGTGACCTAAGCTTCGTCTTGTTGGCGCAGATGAGCCGGAGTGATTGAATGACCAACAATTCTACCCACTAGTAGCCAGTCGGATAGAGCACCCCCTTCGATCACTATCTACTCCTGAAGCATTTTGTCCGTGACATCAATTTCGTTTTGTTCTACCTATGATACCTGGATACCTTTCTTTTGAGTAAGTTTTCTTTGGATATGTTATTTTTTTGAGTAAGCTGCTGACCGGCACAAGGACCACGTCAAAATACGTATAACCAATGGGCTAATCAGAAGACGTTATAGCCTGTCCGCTCCCATGAGAGCCCTTAGCAGTCGAACTAGAACCAAACACGTGTGTTCTGTGATCCTCTGCTCAACAGAAGTTCTATACGATCTCGACTACTGCTAATCTTCATCACAGCAATTGAAAAATGGAGGGATTATACTGCCCACAGCGGGGCCTACGACATCAGCTCTATTTATTATAATACTGGCATGCAACATGAACTCTTATGAGTTTACATAACTCGCTTCTTCTTGTGATACGGGGCCTTAGCCGTAAGACTCTGGTGAATATATGGCACGACTCCACCTGACAAGAACAATGGACAAGTGAGAGCAACACCATCGTTACCTCCAGCGATTGTAGCACGGATGAGGACGTCGAGCTCATCATCACCTCTGATGGCTAGGTGTAGGTGTCGTGGAGTTATACGTTTAACCTGCGGTAGTCATCGCCCCTCGACTCTAACATGGACTGGGCTCACCTTCTGGTCTTTAGCAGCGTTTCCAGCGAGCTCAAGGACCTCAGCCGTGAGGTACTCCAATATAGCTGCAGTGTAGACAGCAGCAGTCGAGCCAACTCTGCAGTTGGCAGTAGCACGATCCTTGAGATAACGTCGGACCCTCCCCACAGGGAATTGGAGACCAGCTCTGGCCGATCTGGTCATTGACGCGCCCTTACCACCCATCTTACCCTTACCACCGTGAACCTTCAGAAGTAGGTTGAATCACAGAGATGCAAGACTGACCCTACCTTGGCCCCTTTGCCGCCCTTGCCACCTTTACCACCCTGTAGACCGGCCCCTTTGATGCCCTTCCCACCAGCTAAACAGAATAAGAACGATGACCTAGTTGAGAGGGAAGCGACGTATAGCAGCCTACCTAGCTGGGTCACCACTGGCACGGACTTGTTGATATCAGTCTTCTTGAGATCAGACATAATGAGAGCTTACGCGGGGTAATGTACTGAAGCCATCAAATCCACATCGGAACATGCTTCTGCGGCGACCAGCATGGACGACTTAAGATTTTCTCAACGGTCGCACGCCTCTACACTAAGCTGGGCACGGCGATACCAACAAGAACAAAACCGCAATGGCAAGATAGGAATCTTACACTCTTACGAATTTTTCATACGATAAAATTGAGCTTGCGAATGTGCAAGATTTGAGGTGGGAATGACTTTCGCGCTCGCCCGAAACAATAAATGGCCTGGGGTCCGTTTCACAAGCCTCGGTTAGGCACGAAAATCGTAAGGCGCTAGGCGATTTTTGCACCTAACGGCGGTTAGGCTATTTCACAAAGGCTGAAAATTGGGGTCGTGAGGAGGGTGAAAAGGTAAAATCTAAGGAAGATCTCCATTTCTAAGGGAACAATCTCGCTCGCCCATTTTTTCACTTATACGTGCTGGCAACACGGTAGCCGCCGATTGGCCTTTCTAAGTACCCCTCGGTGTACTTATCTGTGTAATAACGTATGTAACTAAATTCCGACGCCTCGAGCTCCAGGCAGGCGAGGGGTAAGCGTTCTGAGAAAGCTTGAGAAGCGTTGCGCTAGTCGAAGGGAGTCTTCGTGATTTAGCCTGGCAGATCAAACCCACAGGTATGGCGCCGGCGGCCGCAGAGTACGACGACCCAATTGCAATCGTGCCTCCAATGCAAGGCGTGGAAATTGCAAGGCGTGTGTAATCGTGGGAAGGGAAACCCGAAATCCCATCCGAAACCGGATAGGGCAACCCGAAACCCGAACTGTTATCCAAGGCAAGGCTGCTATCCAAGGCGAAGCTGCAAGACAAGGCCGGAAGGACCCATTAGTGGAGAGGTGGCTCCCTTAGAAAAAGGCAGAAGGCCAACATCATAGAGCCCAGCACCATACCAACGGGTCAATCAACAGTATCTGCAGTAATGGTTGCCTTTATAAACGGGTCCAACCCGTCTGAGAGACGAGTTATGACCCTTTCAACCTACAACGACAGACACTGAGTTACAGTGAAGACGAATGAATGCTTCCATTGCTGGCCACGTGGAGGAGGGAGCATACGCCAAATCTTAACAATAGTGCTAGAGGAATATATTTTCGTTTTACTCAGCCTAGGAGTTCCTCATCAATTATAGAAGTCCACACAAGACTTGGGATCGCAGTGTACAGAAACTAATAAGAAATTCCCGAAATTCTCCCGGAGTCTTCATATTGTCACCAACACATGTAGTTGACCATGCGCGTACACACTGCTCTCCAGCAAGGGGGATAATCAAGCGCTCTCGTCGTGAGGCATCCATAAGGAGGTATCCCAACCGTGCTGACCTTGTCATCATGGCCAGTGGGAATTCTCATATACCATGTTGGTGACTACCCTACGATAAACTAGGCTAGTCACCGACCCACCGACCACCTGACTTGAACTCAACCATTGATAAGAGTAATACGACGCTTGAATAACAATTAACCGATATATATTGCAAAGACGACTACAATACAAGACTACTGACATCAGCAGTATTACACTGATCATCTCTCCAGAACAGGATACACCATTAGAGTAGGAGTAACACTCCCGGTAGGCCCATTTACGGTCATCACTTCAAAACGTCCAACACGATGTGTAGCGGGAAGATCGATACCAGCATCAGTAGAGGCGTTACATGAATCAAGGAATTCCTCAATAACAAAGCGTCCAACCTTCCTAACCACTTTCCTCGGTAAGAGCGCGTCAACAAGAGTGCTTTTTGTGGGGACAGGTGACAGCGACGGATCGCAATTGGCGTGGGTCACAGCCAGCTGATCAGCGTTCTGGTGTAGCTGACCGTCTCTATCTACCAACTCTAGTGTGAATCGTCCTCTTCTCGAGCAGCAGCTAGTTGACGGAGTATCACTTTCATCTTCTTCCCTTCTCCCCTGGTCCAAGCCGCTGCCTGTATTCGTCTGGTTGTTATCAGAGGGGACAATCGACATAGTAGAAGTGAGTTCGGGGTCACACTTCATCAACGTGCTTGAGGACTCCGATGAACCGTCTATCTCCAAAAAGAGGAAAGTCGAATCGAACAAAACTGAGAAGACCATTTTGTCTAAGGAACCTCCCGGGAACTCAACAGACCCCACACACTGCGAGTTTGAGAAGTGACCACTACTACCCCATCTGGAGAACAACGCTAGAAACAACAGAGTCGCTTCACTACTAGGGCGGAGGGTCCACAGCAATTGATAGCAATAATGTTACTCAGGATAGACTGATATAAAACTGCGAGCTGGTACTTGTTCATGCTCGAGAGCGGAAGGCCCGGAAGTCATCAAGAGCCTTGAGGACCTGTCACCAGAGTTGTACTATCCCATCTGGAGGTCTATGCATCACCTCTGAATTCAAGGAGATCGCTGTGTCCATCATGTCACCTGGCTCGAGCAGCTCTATCCACAACTGCAGCTGAATCGAATACCGGTCCATATT